AAGATTATATTCAAATTGTGAAACTTTATATGGTAAAATTGGAATTTTTTAATAAAAGCAAAACAAGTTCTCTTTCCATGGGAATCAATGCAAAAGGAACAGTAGACATAATTCAATGTCTAACAGGACTTTTTCGGGAAATGCACATTAAATATTAGTCATTCATAATTCAAACCTTCTAACATAAAATTCGAGAAAAAAATGAAAAGAATGAAATCCATATTTTAATAAATTTATTTATTGATAATTTATACATTCTATTTTATTAAAAGTAAATCGTCAAGCTTTTAAATTTTATCACATCATAATTCTAAAGCATAAACTTATATTAATTTTTTCAGCTTACTGAAAAATCTTACATTTACAAAAAGTTTTACATTCTCCCGAGGCCATCTTTTGTTTATTGCAGTAATATTTGAAATTGTTTTTTCGATAGGATCATGTCCTCTATCCAGAGACTCCCCCCGCTAGATGGTATGCGGGACTGAAGTATATTCTCCAACTCCTTCTTTAAGTACAATTCAGATAATCTTCCTGGTTTAAACTCGGTTCCTGCTTCATCTACGCATTATTGAACTTGGTTCATACAACTCTTCTGTTAATCTTCGAAAACCTCCGCTTTGTGAACAGAACTTCTTCCCAGCCCTGCCATTAATGGCCTAATCATTAGCAAGCGGCAAATATATAAGACAATCATCAACGGAAAAAAAGATCCTAATGCGAAAGATCGCACATTCTGTTCTAAAGCTTTAAAACACCGTGTTACCCTGATTTTTATTATTATTCATATTCATACCTGCCGTTTACCCGCGCTAGGTATTAAATTATGGTTTTATCTAAAGTGCCCGGCGTTGCCTATGAAATATATAATAAAACGAACATGTATTATGTGTGAGCGCTATATATTATTAAGAGAATATTGTGCAATGTCTTATTATTAGCTTTATTCTATTAATCAATTCATTATGTTTCAAATTAATATCACGCTGTTATGAATAAAGCATTGATAATATATATGTAAATTCATACATACATACATGTAGTACAAAGCTTTCAGGAGGCTTCACAAAATAAGATAAGGTTATAAGGAATAGCAGATTTTCTGTATTTCTCCGTTCTAGCATAGTTGATAATAAATAGTTTAACGTTCCGTAGCTGGTGGTTGTGAGCAACTGGTTCTACATGGACTAGAGCAAAGCGCCTTTGAGATTATAGGCATTTTTAGCAAAGGATAAACAAAGTTTCTCTCTCCTAATCCTTAAAGGGACCGTTCACTTATTTGGTTAATTTCAGGGTAAACTAAACAGCCTATTCGCTTTTGATTGGTAACAGTCTTACTTTTCAAAGACAACTGTGGCCAGAGAAAAAGCCGATTTTTCGTTCAGAATTTGAGCAGAAAGGGACGGTCCCTCTCCATAGACACTAGTTGATGTTTTTTTCAGTAACAGCAGCCCAATAACATTTAAATTTATTATATTTTGATGTCATTATGTGTTCGTTATTATGTACAAAAATATGAAAACTTTTGATATTTGAATTAGAAAGAAATTTACGTTTTTCGTATTAAAACATGTAAAATGTGTATTCAAAGACGACGTCTCTACTATATACATGTAGTACAAAGCTTTCAGGAGGCTTCACAAAATAAGATAAGGTTATAAGGAATAGCAGATTTTCTGTATTTTTTTCCGTTCTAGCATAGTTGACAATAAATAGTTTAACGTTCCGTAGCTGGTGGTTGTGAGCAACTGGTTCTATAGGGACTAGAGCAAAACGCCTTTGAGATTTTAGGCATTTTTAGCAAAGGATTAACAAAGTTTCTCTCTCCTAATCCTTAAGGTTTCTAGTTCCAAGACGGATAAAGCATGGACTGACAAACTAATCCTAGAATAACTTTTAGGGACACCTTCTGAACCCTTTGAAGAGTAATTTTATACTACACAATAGTACTCACGAGTACAACAAATATATCAGGTCTTTCAGGTTCATACCAATAAACTTGACTTGACTTCATTACATTACATTACATTTTTTGCACAGCTTTACAGAACCTCATTCTCATTTTCAACAGCAAAAATTGAACTTTAGTGATCTAAGTTAAGGGTTTGCAAAAACTCTGAAAAAAAATGTTTTTTGTAAATCCTTTAACCTGTTCTCTTAAATAAAAATTATATCTTAAACTATATCCAACAAACTGTATTCTTCATTAAGGGTAAAAATGCCAAATAAATTAAAAACACAGTTGCTATTTTTTTTAATCTCTTATTTTTTGTGCTATATTTTTGCGCACAATTTGTACAGTCGTCGTCGTAGATATCAATAAAATGAAGACGACTTTCGATATTTTAACTATGAGCTTTTAAACAGAACATTTAAACAAAGAGAAATGACCAGTTTAGTTAGCTTGTTTTTAAACATGTAATTTGATAAAAATATGTCTTCATTGTATTGATATAATCGCCGAATACTGTAAAAAATTTCAAAAAAAGGTGGATATCGGATTCCTATGCATGGTACATTAGGGGACCGCAAAATGCCCAAAAAATCTGTTCTCTGTCCTTCTAATTCGTTAAGTTTCTTCTAGAAGTTAATTAGAAGCAAATTGGCTTAGTACTAAACCTGTTTCAGGCATAAATATTTTATGGAAATAAATGCGTCAGATCTAAAGCTTGCTTTTCTTGTTTTTTCCCAGAGCTTAAAAATCCTTGAGGAATTGAGTCTAATTTTTTAAACCTATATCTTTGCGACCCAATCACTGTACATTCCAGTTAATTTCATGTACCGGGCCGAATTTCAACTAGCCAGGGCAAGCAGTACAGTACAAATACAGACTATGTGAGGCAAAACGGGACTGTACGCCAAACGAATGATCCCCTTCTGGTAAAATTTAAGTGCAATTGCGTAGTCCTGAGATATTTCAAACTATGAATTCTGTTTGATGGAAAAATCTAAGTTTAAAATATGAATGGTTTACACACGAAGGTTGCAAAGATTTAGGGATTAGCCAATTTGAATTGGTCGTAAAGACTCAATTCCATTGTGGATTACTGTATGCTACTTGTCATGATTATCTTTAAATTAAATTATTTAAATGCTAGAAAGCAAAATATATATATAAATATATTTTTATGTTCACAAGGTGTTAACAGCTATCATGTACTGGGCAGTGAATATGGACAGGTGTTTATATAAAGTATCAATAAAGATATATATTTCCGTCATTTACAAATATATTACATCTCATAGACAGATAGATAGATACCATAATATATTGATCTATTCATATGTGTAGATAGGTTATACATGAATATAAATCATTGAATTATTAAAAAATATTCCTTAGTACTAAAACACAATACTAAATATTAGGATACTCAATCATTTTAGAAATTAATATTAATAGGCTATCCACTATTTATTAATTGTTCTTCTATCTGTGAGCATCTTTTGTGGATTTAATAATATTTTTTCATGGATTTTCAAAATTTTTACGAAAATCAAAAAGTTTTGGAGACAATTTTTTGTAATTATAGAGCATCTATTTTTCCCCGGGGTTATGTGAGGTCCCACATAAAATGTGGCCCCGATTGGTTCACTCCTTTTGACGTTTATTGGTTACAAACAAACAGGTTGACACCCAAGCTAAGTATATATACATTTATAGATATGAAGCATTTGGATTGATCTGTTTATTTTACTCTACATTGTGGTTTAATAAAGGTTTATGTATACAGAGA